AATGAACTTCAACTTTGGGGCATTGTCTGACCTGAACTTCTTTATGTTCTTCTGAAATTAAGTTTCAGTCAACTTAAAGAATCTGAGAATGTTAGAGCATGCCTCTGATTTGTGTTTCATGAGATATACCCATGTGAAATGTGTGTAATCATCTACCAAAGTAATGAAATATTTATGTCCAGAGTGAGAAGGAACATGGTAAGGACCCCATGTATCACAATGTATCAAATCGAATGCATTGACAGACAAGTGATTATTTGAGACAAATGAAAGTCTTCTCTGTTTTGCTAATGGACAGATGTTATAGGGAGATGGATTACAGTTTCCATTCTTATCATAATTCAAACCTAATTGATCCTTTAACAAAGCCAATTTTTGGAATGACAAATGACCTAATCTGTAATGCCATGTATGAGCATTCACTTTCTTTGCAACTAAAAAAATAGAAGCACAAACATCATTAATCAAGGTACTACTTCTATTATCAGATGAGCAATCACTTATTATGTACAACCAGCCATTATTTTACCCTTGCCAATCATACTCTGGTTCTGCATATCCTGGATAACACACGAGTTAGTGAAGAATTTGACTTCAAAGTAAGAATCCCTGGTTAATGAGCTGATTGACATTAAGTTGAATTTAAATTGTGGCACATAACACGTCTTTGAGTATCGGGTTGAGACCACATCTCACGGTTCCAATGAAATTCATAGGAATTTTCTTATGGTTGGGTAAGGTGACATAAGCATTCTTAATAGGTGTCATAGTACTGAAAGCAAATTAATTGAAACATATATGGCTGGTTGCTCTAGACTTAACTACCCAATGCCTAGGGGAATTCAGCCATAGATTAAGTGCAATAGAGAAACAAGTAACTGACACTTGGTCAGAGTATTCATCAGTTTCTGTGCAAACCTTTGCAGAAGTCAGATGATTGCTAAACATGTTCATCAGTTGTTGGTATTAAGTAGCATTCAAAGACTGCATGAAATCTCCTGTGTTATTTTGTATTTGCTCTGAATTAGATTTAGAGGCTACCTGATTTGCAACCACACGCCTTGACTGGTTGCTGCCAGCTCCCAATTGATCATTGAAACCAGATTTTTGCTTCATTTTATAGCCAGGGCGGTATCCATGAAAAAATGTAGCATTTATCTACTGAATGACCCGCCTGCTTACAGTAGGTGCACATAGGCATTTCCTTCATTTAGAACTTGTTATATGTTTGCCCTGAACTGATTCTCTTATTATCATCATTAGCATAAAATGCCACAGAGTCTCCAGCACTAGAATTACTAATGTTCCTTTGGTATTCCTCTTGGGAAACAAGAGAGAAAACCTTGTTGGTGGGGTGGGGTGGGGTGGGGTGGGGTGGGGGGGGATTGGATCCATAAGTAACAATTGCCCCCTACTTGAGCAAATGTATCATTCAGCCCCATTAAAAATGACATCACGTATTCCATCTGATAGGGCTCTGAAATTTTCTTATTACCACTACAATCATACTTCCCACATGAGCATATTGGTTTGTAATTAGTGAGTTCTTCCCATATTGTCTTTAACTTGGGTGAAATAAACACCAACAGATGACTGACCCTGGGTGAGGTTCATCAGTTCACGTCTGAGTTGAAAAATACGAGGTCCATTCCTCTGCTGGAACCTCTCTTTCAAGTCGATCCATATGTCATGTGCTGATTCAGAGTAGATGAGACTTGCTGATATCTCCTTAGATACTGAATTGAGAATCTATGAAATAACTATATTATTGCAGAAACTCCAATTGTTGAGCTGATCGTCATTAGCTTCAGGTTTGGATAATGATCCATCTATAAAATCGATTGTTCTTCACTGATAGAGCGATCACCATGGCTCTACTCCATGAAGCATAGTTGTCACCGGTGAGAAGTTGTGATACAAGCACAAGTCTTGGATTCTCTGAGTGATGAATACAGTAAGGACTAGACCCATCATCAATGGCGGAATTGCTTATTGATGATGAGTTATTTGCTGCTACTGATGCCATCATTCACTGATATATTTTGAATGAACTTAGAAGAGCAGGTAATGGAAGTACATCTGCTCTGATACCATATCAACGAATTGAAGCAAGAAGAAAAATGAATTATCTTATTGCTTTGCTCAGAATTAATTAATTGTACACTGCAAGTTGTGATCTATAAATACAGATGCAAGCTAACAAATTCTAACTAATTCAGCTATACAAACTAATACAAGATGGACATGTGGATTCATTAACTAACTCCTTCTGTTGATTGAGTGGCGAGCTAGCTGAGCTGGAAGCATTCTTCTTTTTGTTACTTCAAATTTTTTTATTTTAAAATAAGTGAATGCTATGATATTTTTAAACCTTATATGAGACTACGTGATTAAATAAGAAAGCTTATGACAAAACTTATAAATTACATTAATCGGCTATATAATTTCACTCTACCGAAATTTGAAATTTATTTTGAAAACTTTCAGTCCCAAATGAGTGCCAACAACAGAAAAAGTAAAAGCAAGAGAAGAAGAGGGCAATAATGTCAACTCGAACACGTGTCTCCTTAACCACTCGGACATATTGACGCTGGTTATTTAAGATAAAAGTTTTTAAATTAAAATCGATTTGAATCTCCTATTGGGAGGAATTTGTCATTAATGTTAAAATATGTTTGGAGAGAAAAAACTTCGAGTCCGTTAGTACGCGTGTTAGACAATTTGCACAAAGTTTTTCAATTGAATGAATATGTTACAATTGCATTAGTATGTTTAGCTCTTGTTTGGTAGGAGGATTACAATCTATATTTTAATTTAAGTTAAAGCCAATAATTCATTTCAGTCACATATTTCGTAAGATCCACAACTTTTCAACTCCATATTTCAACAACTTTTATCAAAATCTACTAAAAATTTAATTTTAAATCCTATCAAACAGGGGCTTAATGTATCGTGCGCAAATAACAAAAAGAATAAATATTTTTATAATGTTGGATATTGTATAATTCGTAGCACCAAATAAGTCATTTTAGTTGGACCGCTCTTCGTAAGACCGTCTCGACCCCCAAAATTCCCAAAGAAGTGGGATGGTAGTCTCATCTCGCCCAATTGTCACTCCTAACTAATAGGGATTGCAAGGGGATCAGGCGAAGCAACTGCTATTACCCCCACTCATCAGAAGTTCTTGAGAGGTGGGCTGAGATTAGAAACCCACCTTTATCACCATGTTTAATTATTTTTTAATGTTATTTTTATTTTTTATTACGATTTAAATAAAAAATATAAATTTTTATTTTTTTAATAGTATTTTCGCCGGTAATCATGTTATTCGATCTCATCCTTTTTGCTATTCGGGACAAGGAGAAGAATTTTGCTCTCTCCTATGGGCAAGGATGAAATTTTAAATTCATGAAATATACAAAAATGGAAAATGGTTAATTATATGATAAGATGGTTAATTATATGATAAGATGAGAGAATTTTTAAAAAGGATACGGATGTCACAAGAGTATTATTAATTAGATATTTATATAATTATCTACAAAATGAACAATTCTCACGTCACTTTTCAATGCTTACAAAAAGAGTAATGTTTTTTAGTATTACTAATGTTGCCCCTAGGGCACATCTCCAAGTGGTAAAAGGAGAAGGTGGAAAAACTCCAACTTTGCTTAAGGATGCCGCGTCAAGGGTTCGAATCCAGAAATATGGATTTGGCCATTGTGTAAGTGTAAGTGTACAAGCAGCCTTCCACCCTGTACCCTTGTAGGCATAACCTGCGATTTACCTCCTTCACCAAGGTCCAGGGCAGGGCAGGTGGGGGCCGCTAAAGATGCGGTTCATCCTTTAGTATTACTAATGTTAAAACATCAATTTAAATGACATTAAATGAGAAGTATAATTAAATGACTAATTTAATTACACCTCTCATTGAGCTTATCGCATTACGCAACCTAAATTAGAATTGTAGCATAACTGGTACTAAATAGCATTGTTATACAAAAAAATGAAGAAATCTTGGTCCTTGTTTGATCTCATCATTTTTAAAATACATTTTTTTCTTTTATTTTTATGCACATATTTTTTAAATAAAATAATATTACATAATCTAATTATTTGGGGGTAGAAATGGGCTCGAGGCTCCAAGAAACATAGTTTGCAGACTCCCAGAGTCCCACTCCCAACCCCGCCTCACTCCCGAAAGTTGTAGAGTCACAATCCACGATCACAAGCTCGTTAAGCGGCAGTTGCCCACGTTTTGTATTTGGGCTAAATGCCTACCGAGGTAGATTGCTAGGATGATTTGTCATTTGTGAGTCTTTAATTACTTTCTTTGCTTATGTTATTCAAATTTAATTATTTGAGCTTTGGGATTTATGTGTAGGTTTGATAATGTAATTAAAGGGAGTAGGATTGGGAGCAATACAGCTTTTTCCTTTTAGGTTGATTCTGTGGAAAAAAGAATAAATTTTCACCTCTAAATTCTAATTGGTTCTTAATTTTGAATAATGCTATCTAGCACGTGCTACTGATGCTACGTCTATGTAAAGGTGAAATTATGTGATTCAGTTAATTGAACCTACCAGTGATGTTAATCACCCATGGTGCTAAATAATATTACTCTTTCCAAATCTTGATTGATTTTCTGAAGATGACAATATAGCATTCTGGGGAAAAAAGTGATTTTGTGGATGAACTAACACATTGAAGTGGTTTTATAAATTTGAAGTAAATGAAAGAATGGTGTTTACCTTGAGCAGCTGAGTCAATAGGGGAATGCACGGTGCAACTTCTTGATGTCGTGACTATGTTGATATCCAAGATTTAATATAGCCTATAGGCTTGTGCTAGTTGTAGGAGCCTTGAAAATTAGTGAGCAGAAATGCAAAGCATTAGATTTCTTTATTGATGGATTTCAGTTTTTGCATTCCTTAAACTGAAACGTGCCATCACCAATCATTCAAAAACATCAAATGTCAATTACGAGCAAAGCTCATTAGATGTTGACTGATGATAGGAAACTCAAGATATTTCCTTGTGTCAAATGTGTTCCAATAAAAGTCTCTTCAGCCATTGGCGAAACGGATGATTCTTTTACACTTAGTTGTCCATTTAAAAAATATAGCATTACCTGGCCTCACTTTGGTACTGGGGCTACTGGAATCAATGTTATAGGTGCATACATTTTAATTATACGCATGAATGTCGAGCCTGATAAATCATCTGACATGCACTTTTGGACAGAGGGAGTGATAGGCAAGTGCTTCGTATGCACACGAAAAACGTATTTGCATGTATATGTCTTGTTCGATCTTGTTAGCATGGTCAATATCGAGGTTATCTGTCATATATTTTGATTTTCTAGCACTATTTCTGGGTACAAATTATATACTTCAAGTCTGCCTCCATTTTGTGTGCTGATGAATGCTTTATATGCAAGTACTTGCGAAAGCCACATTCAACCTAACTGCATTTCATAATATAGGAATAGACAGCTAAACTCATTCATTATGAAGCTCTAGTTTTCTGCCTTCGAAACTTTCTGAAAGTTGAGGTCCAGTAATGGGGACAAAGAAAGGATTTCCAGGTTGAGCAATGCAAATTGGTTTAACTATATGCTTAGATAATATCCTCAACCAACCATCATTACTTTTGTTAGAGATTTCGGAGGTCGCGAATAAATTTGTCCGTACATTCAAGCTTGTCCGGAGGAGAAAGGTTCCATAGGTGTGGGGGTTGGGAGAGGGGTTTTTTTACGTTATTATATTTACTCATAAAGGCAAATTTTATCTCAATGATACTAGCATAGCTTCTAGTTGTAGTAATCTACATTTTCAACCAAATTGTCAATAGATAGGATCCCAATACACACATAAATGACATTAATGGATGAGTTGCTCGGTTCAGGTCAATAAGACAATTGCAGTTTTATTCTATGACTATGGAGGCAAGAAATTCCTTTTGGCAGGAAATTCTGATGTTTACTTCAAAGTACATCTTGGGGAGGAGGAATCACTCATTATGGTACGGTGTGGTAGTTTTCGTACACACAGCATCATTTCATGACTTTGCACTATTACGGTTATACTGAATTTGTTTTATGTTTATCTAACTAGAAGAGCTCACATGCAACTTTATCACAAGGATGCTTGGTAGGTTTCCTCATATCTTATCAGGTTAGTTGGATGTTCTTTACTTCACTGAGTGATTATCTTATGAAGGGTTCATATTTGTTTCTGTTTTTGGGGACTTGTTCATCTGTAAAATATGGATCAGGGATCCCATATTGTGACCTTATTTATGGCTACAATTATTTTCTCGTTAATAATGATGTTATCTCGTATTATTAGTGTTCATTTATTTTTCGTCGGTTGTCTTCAAGAGGTGAGAAATTTGGTCTACATCCTTGTTAGTACTGCTAATGAGCTATATCTAACACCAAGATTTAAATTTTGAATTCAAATTGTGCTAGGTACTTGAAACGGCAAATTGCATTGGAAGGCGAGGCTTCATCCTAGTAGAGTTTTAGAGCCTATACCATACTATGATTTGAGAAGCTCCAGAAAAGCTATGAAGACTCGAGAGACCAACTTGCTCGTACAGTTTTCTCTTTGTTGAAGAGTTTCCTGATTGATTTATTGGTCGGGACAATTCTATAATCCTTTGGAAAAGAAAGAAGTTTTATGATCATGTGATTGACTACATTGGGTGAAAACTGGCTCTGTTCGATTATGATTAGAGATATCTCTGCGACGAGAAAGGGCAGCCGCGAGCAATCCCGGAGGATGCTAGTGCAGGAGTGTGCCACGGGCTCCACTTCACACATCGATATATACGACCACAAATTAACTTCCTACATTCTTAGGCGAATTCATGTAATATGAAAGAATTATGTGTGATGGATTCTCAGATTGTGATAATTTAAGTTTTAACCATGGTAAGAGGATGACTATATAGGAAATTTCATTAATCCATACTATATGTCAACAGTAAATGATTACAGATTTATATGCCAAATAAGATTTGAAATATAGTCGATTTCCTACTAAATAAAAGGTTAAAAAAAGCACCATACGTAAATTTTCACGTAACTAGAAAAATTCTGAAAAGAAAATGTAACTTTTAATTCGATAAAACCTCGCAATTAGCTTTAGAATGTAGCAAAAGAAGCGCTTTCTGGAATCTTCTATTACAATCTATCACAATTTCACGTAGCAATGGAAAAAGAGTTAAATTTATTCATTTAAAATCAGGAAGTCAACAGATAATATCCAAAAGCCATATAATATAATAATGTAGAAAATCCAATTTCATTTAATGCAAAAACTCTGGTTAAATTCGAGTAAATGATCACAATTTAAATTCAGACAATTGGGCGATTAACCAGGGTCGAGATTTAACCATGGTTAGGGTTTTTGATCCCCAAACTCACCCAAGTCTCTAATTCCTATAAATTCAGGAAATCCCGGCTCTGTAAATTTTAAAGTATATTTTATCGAACAATTTAGAAGATTTCTTTCTGGACAAGGGTTTCTCAAATTTTGCAAGAATATTATTCTCTGGGTAAAATTCTTGTACTCTGGGAGACTGTAGCAAGAATTTTTCTGTTCTTTTTTGTTTTGCAGGCGTCCCACAGATTCACATTGCTTCAAATCAGGTTTTTTCATTTTGAACTTTTTTTTTATCTTTATGATTTTCTGCAGGAACGTGAATACTTGTGTTTATGTGTTCATTTCTGCTTAGTTGTTGTTTTATCATGTACATATATGTCTTAATTGTATCTATGCTTTAGTTTTTATTATTATTATTATTATTTTTTTTGGGTGATTTTATGGTTATTAATGATATGGGAATTCAGGGTTTTAGTTAAATATGCTTTGCATGTGTATCTTTTGCAATTGGTTTGTTGAATTTTTGAACCTAGATGTCATTTTCAATAGTCTGTACTTTTTGCCCTTTTCCCACCCTTTCTAGTGGAATATTTTTCGGTTCATGATTTTTGTGTGTTTCTATTTTTATTTTTTTTCAAAAACTGACGAGATCTTTTGAAGCATTAGATGATTTGCAAAATTTTGCTCGCAAGCCTTTTTTAAAGGGTGGGTCCGGGGGGATAGGGATATAAGTTTTTCACTTGTATGATACTGAAAGAATGAAAAACATTTCTGCTATTTGAGGGTTGGTGCTGTTAAATCACCAATAAAATAAATAAGGAATGGATGCCTGTTTTCTTAAAAAGAACACATTACTGAGTCCATTTGAAGCATTTGTCCTTCAAAATTTTTTGCTTTCCTCGAAAAGAAAATATTACTGAGTCCGTTTGAATCATTTGTTGTTCAAATTTTTTTGCTTGCCTTATATAAGAGGAAATGGATTAAGTGGATGCTGAAAGTCACATTTAGTTGGATGGATCTTGCCAATTAGTGTTTCGTAAGAATTAGTTATATCTTTTGTCGGATTATGTTATTGCCTTTAATGCTTCCGTAGTTATATCTTTTGTCGGATTATGTTGTTGCCTTTAATGCTTCCGTTATTTCAGTTATGCTCATTTGAAATGTGCATCCATTACTACTTTACGTGGTCCTTGAAGTATGGTTGTTTATGAATGTACATGTTGCCCTCAGAAGTTTGGTAATCTAGTTTGTATATTGCTGTTTCCCTTTCGATGTTTGTGAATCTACTAAATATGCTTGCTCATATACGCCTGTATGTATCCTTCAGTATGTGTGCGTTATTACTTACCTATGTATGCATATTTTTATGTAATGTATGACATCCATTTGGGCTTCATTAATTCCTGAAGTGGCTTTTTAATGTAATAAATTATCTGTATAACTTGCATAAGCATGGTGGTGTGGATTTCTTTATATCTTGATTCAGGGCTTTTGCTAATACAGATCCACTTGTTAATAAATTTGGAATATGTCTAGTCAGTTTGTTCATTTCTGTTTGAACCAGAAGGTCATATATATTTATATAGTAATGAGTGGAGTCTTGAAGTTCTATAAAAATAGAATTATATGCAAAATTATGCATCTTACAATTTTCATGCCTATAAGATTTTATTTTGCAAAAAAAAATAAATATGGTAAATTAATTTGTTGTGCTGATTTTGTTCTATGTTTCTGTTAGCTAGTGTAAAATTGAAATGTTTGTGAAGAATATGCGTGGCTTAGAAGTTTAAATTCAGCCAGTTTAATTTAGGTTAAAGGAAGATCAGTTGTAATTTTTCAGGTAACCTTTTGAAGTCAAGTGAAAAGGCTTTTAGGGTGCCTTTGGAAGCCTCACCCTGCGTAAATGTATAGCGAACTTCACTTTCTTCTTTGAGCTACCCTTATCAGTACTTGCAGAAGGTATTAAATAGTTTTTGATGATAAATTGAACATCAGAATAATAGGATCTCTGAATAAAGAGATGTTGGCATTTAAATTATTAAATTTTTTGACTACGTGATTTTTAGCTTGCACAACTCTTGGATAGAAGATGAAATCATTTTCTGTCTGTCTTTTAGCTTGAATAACTCTTGATTTTCAAATTTTTGGATGATTCGTGGAATACATCGAATAACTCTTAGTTCATCCACATTATTGCTATTGCTGCATCATTCATTTCTAGATTGTATGCGCTGATCCCATGTGCATTATTTGCTTAACTACATTTCTTATCCTGGTGTACTAGGTTTGATCATTTCTAAAATGGAATGTAATAAAGATGACGCTATCAAGTGTAAAGGCATCGCCGAGAAAAAGTTAGAGAACGAGGACATTGCCGGAGCCAATAAATTTGCTTTAAAGGCTCAAAGTCTATTTCCAAATCTCGAGGGTCTTTCTGCGTTATTGGAGGTCATTAACCTCTATGTTGCCTCTCAGAAGAAAATAAATGGAGAAGTAGACTTGTACGGGATTTTTGGTCTGGATCCCTCTGTCGACGATGACACGTTGCGTAAAAAATACAGAAAAATGGCTCTGGTCTTTCACCCTGATAAAAACAAGTCCACTGGGGCTGCTGGAGCATTCTTAATTCTTACTGAAGCCTTTAGTGTCCTGTCAGATAAGGACAAGAGATCCGCGTATAATCTGAAGCTGAACTTAAGAGCTCCGAATCCTCCATTACCAACCGACAGAAACGGTTTCTGTAATTTCACCAGCAGCTCCAGCTCTCAGAATGTGAGGAATAAGGCGACTGATGCCAAGACCCAGCACATGCCAACTCAGTCAAGGACTTCAGCTCCTGCCACCAGTTCACATGTCAGTCCTCCACTCTTTCCAAAGAATTCAAAAGATGCCACTGGTGCCCAACATGTTCCCCGTCCCAAAAAAACTAAAAAAACTGCCACCAGTTCTAGGTACGCTGCAACTCCACCGCGGCCAAGGGATCCGAGAACTGCAACCACTGTTCACAACATTCCCTGTCGTAAGAAGACTTCCAAAAGTGCCACCAGTTCTACATCTGTTCGCACTGCATCCAAGCCAAAGAATCGGACGACTGCCCAGCACGCCCCTGCCAGCAATCTTCGTCCGATCCCCTGCCCTCCATCAGGACCTGAAACATTTTGGACATCATGCACTAGATGCAGGATGCAATATGAGTACCCGAAGATTTATCTCAACCAGAATCTTCTGTGCCCCTGCTGTCGGGAGGCTTTTTTTGCTATGCAGAAGCCTGCCCCCCCATCTGGAAGCATTCATAGTTCGCCTGGTTGTTGTGCCTTCCACCATCAGAAGCCAGGTATGTCTGCCCCATCCGGGGGTTCTGGAAGTGTGACAGCTTCAGATACCAGAGCCTCTCAAATTGCACAGAGGGTCCAGTCAGTTTTTGAGAGCCTCAAGACACGGCGTGAAGAAGCAGTAGCTATGGCAGGGAGTGAGGAGGTTCTACAGAAGAATAACAATGCCCCAGATACAACTGATTCTCCCTCAGCTTCTGAGAAGCCAATGAAAAAGAGGCATGTAGATGGACAGAACTGGAATGATGCCAAAGAAAGAAACCCATTGACTGCACGTAATATGGCTGCCCATAGAACTTCTCTCGAAATCTAAAGGGCAATTTGGAAGGATATGCCTGATTGTGAAAGAACCTGGAACTTACTATCGGCTAATAGTGTACCCTTTTTGGTATTGTTATTTAGTTTCTCTCACATTTTGGATCTGGCTTGCGACTGACGAGAAAGTAGGCAGTGAAGTTGATAGTGTCTGTTGAAAACCTTGATAATATGTTTTGTAGGGAGGATTGCACAGCCCAAAATAGTAGCAGTGAGAAAAAAAGAAGCTATAATTTTGTTGATTAGAACATACACCGATAGTTGTTGAAAGCACAAGTATTAATGAAGCTTGTTTTGGCTAGTAAAGTTTGATTTCGTAGCCCACACATTCAAATGCATTATTGTGGATTACTTCTGATAATGTCGTACATTTTATATCACATAACCACGTGCTTCTGAAGTGAAGGTTGTGGTCATTTCACCAAAGATATATTTCTGCCTGAAAGCCTCCATACAAATTGAGACTAATCTGTACAAATTTCGGCGTCGTTTGGTTTACATTATTTTTTTCATTCTCAGTCATCTACTCATTTTCAATCACACATTTTTCAATAAAATAATATTTTTCATCACATCAATAACTTTTTTTTCTTTTTAAACCACATATTCCCCATCACATCAACAGTAAAAATGCATTCTTACTTTCAAAATGTGCACTAAACGGGGGCTTCATTGATAAACTTTCACTGGTAATAAAATTTAGTCCCCGTTTGACACCCATTAATTTCTCTCTCTCTCTTTCTCTTTCGCTTTCTTCATTTCAATCACACATTCTCCAAATAAAATAATATTACACACAAATCAGAAACTTTTCATCACTTTTCCACCAAACATTCTCACATCAATCACTATTCCAAAATTTCTGTTCTCCTCAAAATTAGATTCAAACACACCATTACTCTAATCTTTTCAAGTAGAGAGAGATAATTATTCTTTTCCTAGTAAACTGAACACTTTCCCTTAAGGCAGGAAAAGATTGCTGATGCATTTGCTGTGTCGGCCAACTGAGGGGGCTGTGCAATTCTGTAAACAGATATTCTTGTCCTTATAACTGGTCAGTTTGGTACAGGAGTGTTGTAATAAGTCGACATGTACAGATGTACTCTAATACTCTCTTAAATTTATAAGATGAATTAATGCACGTTTTGTTGGATTGGCTCCTGCTAGCGACATATTTTTGTTGTGAAGGTTATAGTTGCTATACACCTTTCAGTTTACCAGCAATGAATCGAATTACGTAAAGAAAAATGATTGATGTAATCGGCTTAGAAATTTATTGAGAAGTATCTTACAAAGGTTTGAATAAGTGAAATAAATAAATTTGCTTCTCATTTTTCAGAATCCCAACTTTTCCATATTTAGAACCTCCTGAGTCTGCTCAACCTGTACTGGTATTACAGTTTCAGACACTTCTATTCTTTTCTGTGAATTCTGCTTCTGTACGTGAAGCAGAATTCTTTCTTTTTATTCTCAATCCTGTCAGAATAGTACTCTAATCTGGTTGTTCTTAGTTCTTTCAATAGCGGCCTTTGTCATCCGACCAATTTTATGCAATCGGTTCAGCTTGAAATTCAACTGGGACGGGGGCAGATTCATGTTAATGCAGGTTATCGGCCCACTCGTGCTTAGAACAGAAAAGGTCTCTGAAACATGTTTGAATTTGTTGCTTTTTTCTTATTTACTAGTAAGAAAAGTACTAGATATTATTATTTGGTTATTTCCATATTTGATTAAACAAATCAATTATTTTCTTAAAAATCACTCATTTGCTTTCTAACTAAATTTAGTTATGCTAATGCTTTTAAGCTTAGCCAAACATTAGCTTTGCCTGATGTGTAGCTATATGGTTATTGATGCCTAATATTTCTGACAAGGCATTGAATAATGTTGGAAGACAAGAAGTCAAGAATCATTAGGAAGATCGAAATAAGACACACGTATAGATAATCTTCTCATTAAGCTAAGGATATATACGGCTGGGAAGCCAAGAAAAAAGTTCACTTGGACAAAAAATAGTAGCATTTTGGACTTCCCTTGTGCCATATGATAGTTACTCACACTCAACTTTATCCCGTCTCATTTGATCTGCACAAGAAACAAAGTATGAGAATGCGGGCGTTTGGTAGCATTTTATTCATACATTAGCTGGTTCATTGGCTTTACTCTGAAGCACCGAAAACAAGGATGCTTCTTACCTGCACTTTTTGCCAACAACTGAAACAAATGTAGCAGTACATTGTTTTGTCTTCATTCACCTATTTCCATCTGTCTATTTGGTTTCATGTTCTTTATTTTACCTTACAAGAAGTGATTATTTTGTGAAGGATTCACATTTATTTCATTTTTTGGAGATTATTTCATTGTGTAAAACATTGATCAGGATAATCACATATTATGATACATATTTTTAGCAATTGAATTATGATGTTGATACTGCTAGTTAGCTTTATCTGATACCAAGGTTCTCTGAAATCCTCAAAATTGAAAGTAAAGAACATCCTTTGGCATCTGATGTAAGGTAACAGAATGTTTATATGATTTGTTTGCCAACTACATGCCGCTAACTCATTTCTGCATATGGAGTACTAAAATTGGACAATGCTGCGTGATTTTACATCAGATGATGAGAACTGATTACATCTAATGAGAGGATCACACACACCAGATAATTTCTGTGCCACGAAAAGATGCATTCGGTGATGACAGCTCATGTGTTTCGTGGGATGGCTTTGGTGCTGACAACTCATGTGTTTCGTGGGATGACTTTGGTGATGACAACTCATGTGTTTCGTGGAATGGCTTTGGTGATGACAACTCGCGTGTTTCGTGGGATGTGTTTGGTGATGACAGCTCAAAAATGCGCGTCTTGTGGGTCCACTCTCATTAACCATGGTTGGCTTCATTAAATGAAATTGCTCATGACAGATTGTGATCCGATCATCAGACTGATGCAAAATTTTGATAAATCCATACAGATTTCATATAATCTGTACATATAGTGGCCTCATCAATGTCATTAAAAAGGTAAAAGTGACTTGAAGAATGAGCAAATAAGAAAAGATAATAAATAAGCTTGTCATTTATGATAGCAGAACTTGTTTATTGAAGCATAGTTGCATAAGATCAATAAAACATCTTTAAAATTTGAATATTTGCTTACAATAGAAATAAATTTCAAAAAAATCATAAAAACATGACAGAAAATGGTAAATCCATTTAATGCAAATGCTCAATTACAGACAGCAATTGAAATTCAGATATTTGGACAAATAACCATGATCAAAATTTAACTATGGTTAGGGTTTAACTTTAAATTGCTCCAAGTAATCCAATAAATAGAAGTGGCTCTTCAACTGAAAAAAAATCGGTGGCATTTTCATTTACTCCTTCCTCTCTGCAGTTTCCTTTCACAATTTTGCATCAAACAAATTTTGGGTTACCTAAATTTAACAAGAAGAATTTGCTCTGCTAAAATTATTTGGATCCGGGTGCTCAAGGAAAGCTCCAAAGTCAATATTTCAGCAATTTTATTCTGCAACAAATTCATCAAACGGCATCTCAAATTTTCAGATTAATATTAAACGAGGTAAATATATATATCTTGATGATTTTCTGTATGTCATCATATGTATCTCGATTATCTTCACAGCCGTTTGATCATTTATACATGTCCACATATGTACTCATAAAACTCCGAATGTCGGTTGCATGTTTATTGATCATACGAGAATTAAGGGTTTTAGTCAAACCGCTACATTTGGTGATTTTGCATGTGATTTTGATCGTGTATAAATCTTTATTTTATGGGTTTCTTGAATTTCGCATTCACATACCAGTTCAAGTGGTTTGTATATAATTATGCCTTTTCCTTTTCCTTCTAGAGAAAATTGTGCTATCACTGAAGATTGGAATCTTTCAGGCTAACTCACAAATATCAGGTATGGATCACTGGGTAATGTCTGAATTATTTGATGGGTGTTTCTGTTGCTTTGGTTTTAATTGCTTGGAATTTTTTTAAGAAAAGAAAACATTGCCGAGCTTCATTTGAAGCATTTGTTGAATCAGAATTTTGCTTGTATTGTAAAAGGATAAAAGAGTTGAGTTTCTACTGTCACTGAAATTGTAATTTTTCATGAAAACTTGAAGGGATTTTAATCTATTTGAATTATTTGAAGGATATAGCCTTTTGCTCCCTACTGTGTTGGGGTAGAATATCTATGTGTGTGGATAAAGCTTTATGCGGAATTTTAAAGCCGGTTTGGCATGTGGTTTCAGTGTTCAATAATTTAGTTCGTTGGTTCCTGTTGATGCCTTTATCTGTATTTACATGATGTCATTAAGATGTTTCTACTTAATGAATCCTTTTCAAAATTAATTGTAAAAACAGGCAATGAATTAAGTCGTGATTTTGTAGAACTCAAAACTTAGATATCCTGTCAAACAATGCTTTTTTTCTAAAAATTAGTATCAATGCAGAAAGCACATTCAGACTTGCATGGAACCAATGCAGAAAGACACATTCAATTTTATGGATCTTACCAATTAGGATTTCCTTCATAGTTTGTCGGATTATGTTTTTGGCTTATAGCTTTTTAATGCTTCCGTTATTTTCAGTTACACTCGATAGGTAACATATATAGATGGTCTTAAGTTGTGGCTGCATAACTGCGGCACTCAGAATTTTGGTAACGTAGTTTGTCGGTTGCTGTTTATCTTCTGATGTTTGCATAGCTATTGCATCCTTTGTAATGATAATGTGCGAATGTGCGTGTACTTCTATTTTTAGATAGATTTCACCGACTTTTTGATTTGTATAATTTCCGTTAAGCATGGTGGTATAGATTTCTTCTAGTCTTGATTCAGGTTTCGGCTAATTCAGATCCTCTTCTTCAAAGGTTTGCACACATCTAGTGAGTCAGTTCTTTTTATATTTTTGCCTTTTCTTTTGTTCCTTCTGTTTGGACCATAAGTCATGTAGACTTCTCTAGTAATGAGTTGAAACATGGAGTTCGTCAAAACATAAAAGTCATGCCTACTGGATTTTCTTTTTGAAAGAGAAAAAAAATAAAAAATTGACAGAATTTTTTTGTCGGCTTCTGTTATAATGAAACGTGTTTGGAGAATATAGATATCTTAGAAATACAATTACTCACCAGTTTTAAGGTGCCTTTTCGTAAGCCCCCATTCCTGGTAACTGGATTGAGTACTTTGTTCATTTCTTTTAGCTACCTTTTTTCAGTATTTAATGTTTTTAGGCGATAAATGAATATCAAATCTTTTAATTTCAGAGCATAGAATCTTTGAATAAAAGAGACATTCAATGGCATAATTGGAATTGGAATTTCATGTCATTTGAATACCTGGTTGGTGGCTTCATTAACCTTTTGATAGGAAGATGGCATTCATTGGCTTGTTTTCCAAGCCTTTAAGAGTGGCTTCTTCAAGATCTTGTTGTTTTTTTTGTCTGTTTTACTGTTTCTTTTCGAGTTTGAATTCATTACTTGAAAGATTAGTGCATCCCTATTATATTCATGCTTTACCATTATTTCTTACTAATGTGGATTTTTCCTATATCCTTAGCAATATACTTTCGCTAAACTTTGTTACTTATGTTGAACTTAATTCTTTTGGTGTACTAGGTTTGCAGAAGCAAATACGATAATTTCTAAAATGGAATTCAATAAAGACGAGGCTATTAGATTTAAAGCTATTGCAGAGAAGAAATTAAAAAAGGAGGACATTGCTGGGGCCAAAAGATATGCTTTAAAGGCGGAAACTCTATTTCCTTCACTCGATGGTCTCTCTCAGCTCCTTGAGGTCATTAATTTCTATGATGGCTATGAGAAGAAAATAAATGGAGAAGTAAACTGGTACGGGATTCTTGGTGTCGACCACTTGGCTGACATGGACACCTTGCGTAAAGCTCACCAAAGAATAGCTGTGGCTCTACATCCTGATAAAAACAAGTCCTTTGGGGCCGAAGAAGCATTCAAACTTCTTTCTCAAGCACAGAGTGTGCTGTTTGATAAGGGAAACAAACTAGTGTATGATATGAAGCTAAATTTCAGAGCTCACCAGAGGGTTTCAGTTGGAAATCCCCCATTTCCAGCGGATATATATAGTTTTGGGAATTTCACCAGCTGCTCCAGCTCTGCTACGAATATGACAGCTTCTGGCAATGCCCAGAACGGGCTAATGTGCCCAAGGAATCCAGCTACCACCACAGGTTCACATTACAATCCTCCTCCACTCTGGCCAAGGTATCAGTCAACAGCCTTTGGTGGCCAACACATTCCCACTTATCAAACTACTCCAGAAACAGCCACCTGTTCTCAGTATGTTCTCACTCCACCCTGGCCAAGGGATCCAACTGCTGCCAGTGGTTCCTGGCACATGACTCCAGAAGCAGCCGCCATTTTTTATCATGTTAATGTTCGTAATCAACAAAATCCTCCTACAATGGCCACCAGTTTTCAGTGCTTTCCCAACCCGCTTATTCCAGGGAAACAGACACCCACCAGGCATCATCAGCACACTCCTTCCAGCAATTTTCTGTCGATCCAAAGTTCTCCTGCATCAAAACCTGAAACTTTTTGGACGTTATGTAATAAGTGCCGGATGTTATATGAGTTCCTGAAGATTTATCTTGACCAAACTCTAATGTGCCCCCAATGTCGAGAACCCTTTTTGGCGAAAGAGGAGTCTGCACCCGCTTCTGGAAGCGTTTGCAGTTTACGTGTTCCTTGGTCCTTCCACCATCAGAAGCCAGGTTCGTCTGCTGCACCAGGGAGTTCCAAAAGTGCGACAGCTTCAGCTACGAGAACTACTGAAACTGCACAGAGGGTCCAGTCAGTTGTTCAGAGTCTCAAGATAGGGTGCAAAGAGGCAGCGGCCCATGCAATTTCATTTGGAAATCTAAAGGGCAGTGTTGGAGCCAAAAGAGTTACTTCATCTAGTGACCAGTCCATAAGCACGAAGGAGTTGTCTCGATCTGAAATCCGTACCATGCTGATGGGTAAGGCCAAGACAGAAATCCTTGAGAAGCTGAACCAGTGGAACATAGCTCCTGAATTGGAATCTGCAAATAAGACAGGCATGAACATGGAAAAGGAGAAGCCATCAGCTGTTAATGATCTGAAGAATAATAAAAATAAAGGTGCTGTGCTTCTTGGTTCGAGAAAGACATCCCAGCCTCAAGATTCTTACATGGGTGATGGCACTGGTGAGCTAAACGCAAGCGTTGAAGAAACTGTGTTGATGAGTGTGCCAGATGCAGATTTTTGCAATTTCGACAAGGACAGAGTAGAGGCATCTTTTTCTGGAAAACAAGTTTGGGCTCTGTATGATGATGACGATGGCATGCCACGTTACTATGCACTGATCCATGGCGTGATGTCTAGAAAGCCATTCAAGTTGCAGATTAGTTGGCTGAACTCAAAAAGCACTGCTGAATTTGGCCCCCTCAACTGGGTATCTTCTGGATTTACCAAAACAAGTGGTTATTTCAGAGTTGGAAAACCTCAAGTTAATAAGAGTTTAATATCTTTCTCGCATCAGGTTAAGTGGAGAAAAGGTGCAAGAGGGGCAATCGAGATTTATCCAGCAAAGGGAGACGTTTGGGCTTTGTATAGGAACTGGTCCGTGAATTGGAATGAATTCACTGAAGATGAGGTGATACATAAATATGACGTGGTGGTAATTGTTGAAGATTACAATGAAGACAAAGGTGTCGTTGTCTCTCCTTTGATAAAAGTTGCTGGCTTCACGTCAGTATTTTGCCAAAATTTGGACCTAATAGAAATTTATACAATTCCAAGAGAAGAGATGTTTCGATTCTCTCATCAGGTCCCATCCTACAAGCTAACTGGTCGCGAAGCTCCAAATGTTCCAGAGGATAGCTGGGATCTGGATCCTGCTTCTCTCCCTATGGAACTTCTTCAACTCGTGACAGTATCCAAGGAGACAGATGGAAGCAGTGAGGCAAAGAAAGAATCAAGCAGCAGGGGTAACGCCAATACAGAGGGTGGAGTAGCTTCTGAAAATGCCAAGCATGGTTCCTCAGAACCATTTTTGAAATATTCAAGAAGAGGCAAGAAAATGAAGATGGCCGGAGATGCTGATCATGCTATGTAGTTCTTGCTCGAGCTTTAAATCGTGTATCCTACTATAATAAAGATAGTTTGAATCTGGTTTGTGTATTTAGAAAACATACACAGTTGATTACAGCAGACATGCAAATTGTTTTTGTACCAGAAAAAATTGTCTTCATTGTGGGTGTTTTTATAATATTTGATGAAACAGTTACATTTTCACAAGATTTTTTTTCTCATGGTTGTTTATACGGTTTGCATGCAATGGTTACAAAAGATTGGATTTCATTGAATATTTTGAACGAGTGGCTGGAAAAGATTCAAGCCGCTGACTCCATATTAGTTCTTGGAACTATATAAGATTTATTTGATTGTTTACTGATCTAATAGTTTTTTGTTTGAATGCGACTGTGGGCCTGTTTGGGAGGGATTTAGATTTTTCTACAGTAAATCAATTCTCATTTTCAACCACACATTCTTCAATAAAATAATATTTTCTATTACATCAATAATTTTTTCTTCTTTTTCAACCACACATTTCCCATCATATCACTATTCAAAATCAATTCTTCCCCCAAAAATCTCTCCCAAACAAACTCATGATTTATTATATATACTGCAGTTATTGGTAGTAATAGTCAGGAAGATGTATGCCCTGTTTGGGAGGAATTAAATTTTTTTACAGTAAATCAATTCTCATTTTCAACCACACATTCTTCAATAAAATAATATTTTCTATTACATCAATAATTTTTTCTTCTTTTTCAACCATACATTTCCCATCATATTACTATTCAAAATCAATTCTTCCCCCAAAAATCCCTCCCAAACAAGCTCATCTCATTCTTACTTTTATTGTGTAATTCTTTTTCTACAGCTATTCCTAGCTAGGCAATATGCCACGTGGCTGCATGCTAAGCATGTGCGACTCCGACAAAAAGTAATTGGTTTGCCGAGGCCATTTTCAATTTTCTAAAACACTTAAAACGTGTTTGATATGTTATTTTCAAAAATGAGTTTTCGAAAAGAAGGAAAATTTTACAACATAAAAATCAAAATGACTTTTTGATGTTTCGGGTGTTTTCATAAACACTCAAAGAACTCAAAACAAGGAGAATGAGCTTTAACATTTCTCAAATTAAAATAGTTAATAAAATCACACAAAATCTACCCAAATACACCCATAAAACTAAATAATCACATATATTAAACAGAAAATTGATATGTTTTAATAAATAATCAAATTAATTGGAAAAAAAAAGTCATAAAACTATTTCTAAAATTTTTAAACCAAAAGCATTTTCTAGTTTTTTGTTTTAAGAAACAGTTTTTCGGAATAATAAACTAAACTCGTTTTCTGCAATCTTAAAATAATCCCTCAAAGCAGAAAACAAAAAATGAATTCAAAACTGAAAATAAAAAATAGAAACGCAAACCAAACGCACCCTAAGGTTTTCAACGATGGACATATGAACAACGCACAAGGAACCTGCCGTTGAAAGAAACCATAGATAGAAATGTACTTGCTATGAAATATAGAACACTAGCCAAATGTTATCTGAATATGCAGTTTATGAAGTGTAACAATGCCTTCTATAAAGAAAAATTAACACATGATCAAATGAACACTTGTTGTGTTCTTATGGTTGTACTTATTGTGCAAATTTGCAATGTATAACTAGAATATACATTTTCTTTATCTTTCATTTACTTATATGTTAAATCTTTACTAATAAAAATCAGCCATTGAAACTTTTACCCATTAGTAAATTAACGGTGAAAATCTTCACTCGTTTGTCTATTTATTTAGAGGAATTGACTTATTTGCAATCTTTTAACATGGTAAGATTGATTATGCCCTTGTTTGGGCTCCATTTTATCAAGAAAATGCATTTTGAAATAGTAAAAAAATTAGAAAATATGTAGTTGAAAAATGAGGAAAAAATTTGAATTTGTGTGTGAAATTATTTTATGGGAGAATGTGTGGTTGAAAATGAGAGTTGAAAAAATGAATTTTGAGAATAATAGGGCTCAAACAGGGGCAAGATAAGAAATGGTAAATATGAATCAAAACGAAATTTCAACGCTAAAATTACATCTAATTACTCTCAATTAGGAATGTCAAGAGAAGCGAGAAAATATATTTTTAGATGATGTGCTTAATTGCTCATACTTATTTTTCGAACCAAAAGCAAGAATCAAAGCGAAATATTTAGTATAGAGTACAATACTTGTTTACAACTTTCTTTCCGTTTAAGTTTATTGAGTTCGAGCCGTTCGACCCAACTTTATAAGAATTATGCTACTTGTATATAAAAATGGAAAATGACTACATAAAATGATGTGAATGAAAAATATTGAATGAAAAAGTTTACGGCATTTTAAACTCACAAATAATCATAGTCATATAATATTATGTAATCACTTATGTAAATCTTTATGTATATATCGCAAGATCCACTTTACAACCCTATCTTTTGTGTAAGCTAGGCATAACAAAAAGTGAAAATAAGGCCCAACCTGAGGGCCTCGAGTTCTATGACTATAGGCCAAACTAAGGAGGCTTCTTAGATGGTCCTAATAAATGTTTGTAGGCTTAGTAGAGCTTCGCAAGGTCAAGATCTTGTGGATCTTATTCCTTTTAACGGGCCCAAACTCATAACCAAGTCTATGTCCTCGCATTGTGGGTAGGGGTGGGCGTGGGTCGGTTCGGTTCGATTCGGTTCGATTTTTTTCGATTCCAGAGATTTTCGGGTATTTAGTAAATGGAACCGTCGGTTCCAAATATAATTTTGGAACCGTTCGGGTTCGGTTCGATTCGGTTCGGTTCCGTACTATAATTAAATTTTTTAACATTTAAAACAATACTACATAAATACACCTGAAAGTAGATACTAATATTAATAACAAAAAGTAGATATAAATACCAAGTTCAATCTTAACTTTTACAAATTAACGTAATCTAATTTAATAACATATAAATAATAAGTTGTCAAATACAAATACGAAAAAGTAAATATTACTAATAAAACTTCGATAATTCATATCAATAATTCATTTGCTTCAAACATTCAAGTCTACATAAAAATGAAATATAAATTAGAAGTAATAAAGATAAAATATTTTAAATTATTAATAATACTTACCAATTATTTAATGTAATAATCAGTTGCTTGACTTTCCATACTAACTACTAAGAGATTATACAAGAAAAAATTGAAAAAAAACACAACTAACAAATATAAATAAACTCTAAATTGTTCAACTAATAAGATTTAATAAGAAAAAAATTATTAATTTATTTAGAAAAAATAAAAGAAATTGATTTATCCAATATAAAAAAAAAATTCGGTTCTTATTCGGTTCTTCGGTTCTGGGTCTAGAACCGAGAACCGAACCGAACCATTCGATTCTCGATTCGGATACCCGTTCGGGTATTTCATTTTAAAAAACCCGCTCGATTCGGTTCGGATATTTTGCCCAACTCTAATTGTGGGCAAATGAGGGATAAATTGTAGAAAACTGAAGATACGGGGACCAATATGCAGCAAACAATAACTTTACGAACTAATTTACAGCAGACAAAAATTATAGGACCCAGTTTGCAACATCCTGAAAGTTTTGGCTTATATCTTCATCAATCAGATAGTTTCGGCTTACTTTTATCTGTGCCTACCCTAGTATTCACAATTTCGTTCCTCTACTTTTATCTATGATAGCATCTTTCCTTGGTCAACCAGTAGAGAATTCGAAAACCTTCAAAATGAATAACCCTTCACTCACCCCTATATATATTTTTCTCCAGTGGCTTGGCTACAATTAAGATACATTTTTAAAACTCCAGAGTAATTTTGCAATTAATTTTTTTCCCAAAAGTTTCATATTAACTTTTCAACTCCATAACTTCATTAAAAATTCCTAAAAATTATTGGATGATATAAATCTATTCAACCAATTCATTAGGAATGATTTCTGCAATGTGATATTGAATATGAAAAACAGTTCACACGAAGGCGGCGAACACAAGGGAGATGAGAGCGGAGACCCAAACTTTTGATCCGAACTAAAAAGAATACGTCTAAGACTCTTTGGATATGTTTGTAGAGACTAGGAAGAAAGTATAGGCTTCTTGAATTGGAATACAATAATAAAGTTACGAGATCTCCTTCAAGTAGTGAGTTGAATGTAATTAGGTGATAAAGAGACACTATACTCGACGTATGGTGACATGAAGTATAAATAGGCGAATGAAGTGTAATTATTTTTATCTCTTACGTTATATTCGCCGTCTATAGATGTGAAGTTCATTTTTATTTTGCACCTTTGGGTGGTGGTCATCTCCAGCCTCCCCTAAGTATGTGCTATGTTTTATCTTCATTATATAATAGAGGATATATTTTTTTGAAAAAAGCATATGCCAAGAAAACTAAATAAAGGGTCTGTACTGTCCCTAATATTTTCTCCAACCCCTCCCAAATATAATATTACCACTCTTTAACTGTAATTAGGGATGAACACGAAAACTGTCAAATCACAAATTGAATCTAAAATATTGTTTCGAACAGTTGGTTTTGGTCTACGTGGATCCATCAACATTCTAGAAAATGAACCGAACTAAACCATTTGAAAAACGGTTCCATTTAAGTTTCAATAGTTGAAAAACATTTTGCAACTAAAAAGTACAAATATAGAAAGAAAAAGTGTAAAAAAAGCGTCATACGTTAAAAAAAAAAAAAAAAGGTCATTTTTGGGAGCGGCTATTTTCATCCTCTATTCTAATATATCTATCCACTTTAATAAAATTATATTACGTTTTTAACATTATATAAATTTACTTAAATAGACAAGAATAGAAAGAAATAAAATTTATCGCTCTAAATTCATCGACTAGTATTTATCCTTATTAAATACTTTTGGATCTTTTATATCATTGTAAGCAGATTATTCTGATTGACTCCAGGTGGTATGACAGTCTTGAGTCATGACCAAAACACGGGTTTCATCAGCACGAACCCCGTTCCATGGTTGATCAATATACAAATT